GTGAAGTAAATTTACAAACAGTTGTTTATGCTTCTCTGTTCCCGAAAAATGGATGCTTGTGTATTTTCCGATTTTGTTCTGCTGGAGCTGCGATTATTAAATAAGGAATTAGTTTATTTATCCACAAGGAAGTGATTTCATTTTTTGTATTTGTTCTGTCCCTTATGATAAGAATTTGTAAATAATTTTGGTAAACAACCCGAAAGAGGCAGCATGTAATGTCATCAGTTAAGGTTCCTGGGCTGTGCGGAATGCAGCTTGCAGGAGGTGTGGACAGACGGCAGGAAATGTTGCCGCGCAGAAAACCAGGCAGTTTAAGGCTTTGTGTGTGATGTGGGGGCTTACAGTGAAACACCTGCCTACCTGCTGCCACAACACAAACATTAGTTTAACTCTGTTTGGAGCTGCCACACAGCACCGCTGCCCATGTTTGAAAAGTGTGCGCGCGTGTATGTGTGTGTGTGTACATAATTACACAAAAGAGAAACTGTTTGGGTAATAGGACTCGGGAGACCGTCTGAATAAATGCGGCGTTTGTCGGCTCATGTCTGTGTGTCACAGCGGGTTCACTCACAGGCAGCTCCGGGGCTCTCCGAGCTCTGAGGTCACACCGCTTCTCATTTTCTCCATGACCCAACCTATCGCGCTCCTTCCTGTTCCTCGGTATAAATAGGAGTCTGCCGAGATGTTTCTGCCCAGAAGATGTGCAGGAAAATGCAGCATCAAGTTGTGAACTGTGGTTTAAAAAAAAAGCCCTCTGTGTGATAGCTGGCCTCAACACTTTGGTGACACATTTTTTCTCTCACAACCAAGAAACTGATGCAAAGACCAGGACTCTGCTCTCGAGTCTGGGTTGGTTGTTTTGGCAGGATTTTCCTTTTCTGCTAATTAGATATCTCCAGATGCAGTTGTATGAGGATTGAGTGCGTCTGACAGAAACTGTGTTCATCTGCTCAGAGAGCAGTGTGTTGTTCTATCCAAATCAATTTCGTACAAAACCACATTTTACTACCAAATGTGTACAGTTCAAGGGACACTTTCTACACTGTAGAAATATTTTCTATAGTAAAGGACTCCTAGTGTGAGATGTTTTGAATACTAAATATTAATCATGATCCAGTATCTTTATTTGACATTTAATGTGACATTGTATACCATGTCTTTACTTTTTTGTTTTTATTTCCTATTAATATTTGAACCCAAATAGCCAAATGGCTCTAAAAAATCAGCAGGAAGCCTGCAGAGCAGGTGTATTAGGACTAACAGTCTTAGTTATTTGATCCAAATCTTGAGCATTCCTCCTGGTCTAACTTCACTATGTCTGCTTCCTCTTTTTTCTTCTACAGAGGATTTTCAACTCATTCGTGTACACAGAGAAGACATCAAACGGAGAGACAGAAGTGCAGCAGGTGAGTTACAAAGGCATCTCCTGTCCAGTGTGTGTGTGTGTGTGTGTGTGTGTGTGTGTGTGTGTGTGTGTGTGTGTATCCATGTACACGTGCTCCTACGTGTTGGTGCATGCATGTGCCATGGATGATGTCTGTCGGTGGTTGTATCCAGCACTGAGCATACACCAGGGGGTTTATTAAAATTCTGTGGCTGCCTTCTCATTGGCTTTGAAGTTCTATCTTTTTTTTCCACTCATCCGGCTGTGCTTCCCTTCCTCCCCCTCTGCTCATAATGTGAGCGCAAGGCTTCAGTCAGACGCAGCAAGAAGGCCCGAAGGAGAAATGAGTTGGCCAGAAATGAAAGATTTGTCTGAAATGGCTCTTAAACCTCACGTCAGAAGTCATGTCTGACGCTTTTGTTTTATATTGGGAAACAACACGCTGAATTCCAGGCATACCACGTCAAGGTTAATACAGTTGTGAGCAACACATGATGGATAAGTGTGTGTGTGTGTGTGTTTGCATTTCTGGGCCAGATCTTGGAGGAGTGACAATAAACAGCAGACTGGTAAATAGCCACCAGCAAGAACAGACAAGTTGATGTTTGTTTGCATTTCTCGTGTGACTGTGTCTCTCTTTGAGCTCTGGTGCATCCATCTGTGACACCACGTGGCTTTGGGTGTGCAAATACAATACGTTACACCTCGCAGGTATGTAGACTTTTAGGAGAAGCTAAAATTGCCCATGAAGCATAGTTTTCTCCTCATGCTCGTGAAGATATTATTGTCACAAACAGAAAATCAGGGAATGCCACATTAGAACTGACTGATACCCAACACAAAACAAAGTTTGAGTGTGTTAGTTGCAGACTTTAAGCATTCTCTTTTGCAGAATTTCCATCTAAATCTTTAAGTCTGAACATTAAAACCAACATCTTTATCGGGTGGATTTAAATAAGCCTCAATCCAGGGGTGAGGTTTCTCATTTTGGGGGACTGTAAAGCATTGTATTTTAGTGACAAACTCAAATTGTGCCCACAAATTCAAACCACATACCTAGTGAGGCGGGCCCCCAATACTTCAGATTATAGATTTTGCATAGTCCCCCCTTGTCAGCGGCGCTTTGTCCCTGAGCCACAGCAGGCTCAATTAGGAGAGCACCAACAGAGAAAGCTGGTGTAGGGGACAAAAAGCTGCAGACAGCAGCCACCAGCTTCTTCCACAAGTTTCTCCTATACATATTTATTATTCAGAGACGTGCAAACATCTGCCTCTCTGCAGTGACACAAGCCCACCATTTCACTGCCTGTGTCTGTGCCCTTGTTTTATTCATCTACATGTGCTGTCAGGGGGGTTATCATTAATTTAAAACTGCTGGCTTTTACCATTTTTCTTACATAAAGTGAAGCCTCTCCACATCTCATCCCAATTCAACAATACCATAAAAATGATCACACAAAGTGTTAGCGCTCGTGTTGTTGCAGTTCGGTTTGTCTTTGTGATGGTGGAACAGCTGTAAGTGTCCTCCTTCACATAGTTATATTGAAAAAACTGAGGCAAATGGACAGCAGGAAATGGTTCTGTTCAAGCCAAAAAATTGTATTTGTATTATCGTCATATGGCTCACTAACGACAATAAATGATTTGTTTAAAGAGTGAGCGAAGTCCTATAAACCCTCTGACCTTTAAATGATGTAACATCCGTGCAATAATGTGATAATAACTGAAGTTCATCCAGAGGAGGGAGGCGTGCACTGTCATGTTTCTGTACCAGTGTCGTCAAAACAGACCTGTACACTCCGTATCCCTTCACTCCAAATCAAATCAGTGTCGCCCTAAAACTCCTGTCTGTGTTCGCTGAGCCCAGAACCTGAGAGAGCACCCTTTTCCAATCGCTGCCCCTTTTGTGGCTGAACCCGCCCCAGTGGGTGCTGCAAGCCCCACAGGCTGGTTGGATGGGTCAGAGAACGCGAGAGGAGCTAGTGTTTTGGAGATTGTGGTCAATCTGCAGAGCACGAGTCGGTTTTGGCCGCTCCGGGGCCGGCTGTAACATAAGCTGGAACTTGCACTGCTAGGCGTTTCTGGTTTCACTGAAGTCGCTGTGTTAAAACCCCAACTTTACTTTTTTCCCCCCATTTCTTTCTTTCCCTCCCTCCCCACCACAGGAACACCCCTCAGCTTGAACACTGGTCCATTTTCTCTCATTTGACGCAAAGTTAACAGCAGCTACTTACCATGAAGCGACGCTGCTGTGTGTGGAGTTTGACTTTCTGTCTGTCTGTTTCTGTGTGTCTGCGTGTGTGTGTGAGTGCTACTTGTGGTGGAGCAGCAGTAATTGTGGGTTGTGCCTCAGGCTCTTGTTAAAACCGTAGGCATGGTGTCCGGCTGATTAGGTGTACAAACGGTCACTGGGCTAGAGCACTTTTTCCTGATCCTGTCTTCAATCATAAGCTTTCCGTAGACAGCTATGATTATGGGATATGAACACAACTGGTCCAGTTACTTTGGAAATGAGATTTTTTCTGTGTTCAAGGAGGCAGCCTACAAAAACTAGTGTTTCTTCTTTGGGTTTTCTCTGAGCTTGTGAAAACATTTCCTCTGTAACATGTTAAATTAGCCATCACAAGATCCAGTAAGTTAAAATGGACAGACCAAATATTTCTGATGCTGACTGACTTTGAAACATGAAGATTTCTAACAAGAGCCTCACTCCATCCATTTCAAAGCTCTGTCTGCCTACAGTAGTCTAACCTTCTAAAGTAACTTGTTCTTGTTGATGGTAGTTTGGTGCTCTGGACCCAAAAGGAAACAAGTGCCTGTTAGATTTCCTGTTTAGTTTTCGTAAAAGTTTCCCTCTACTTGAGTCTCTTTTAAATTCTCTATAACTTGAACTTTTCATGTATCGTATCACTATTATATTTTTCTGTGGCCTCGCACTGATCAGTTCAAAGGTGCCTTTGTGTTGTTAACTAGAACAAAAAGCATGGCCCTTGCTTTATACAAAAATACATTACAAACTTAAAATGAGACTTCAGCAGTCTGTGTCAGTAATTCAAATAAATATTCTCATGTTTTGAGCCGCGTTTCCTCCTTTTGTTTCCTTTCCCTCAGCAAGGAAACCCCACATGGAAATTACATTCAGAAACGTTCTTGACAGCAGTAGTTTTCTGAAATCCCCCCAAAAATTTTCTTGATGGGCTTTTTGAGTGTATAAGCAAAAGAATTTATTCAAATAGTGTGAATAAGTTGTAAAGTTAGTCACATACTATATATTAGAAGAAAGACATTTAAAAATAGCTGTAATTTAATAATTTCTCAACATATCACACATGAATCACACACTCCATTTCTTGAAAAATGGAATTATTCTGGAAAGTGTAGTTCATGTTGTCCTTAACCCATTTTGAGCAGTGTTTGTGTTTGTTTTTTGTTTACAATGGAAGCAGACATTTTATACAATGTTTTAGCTTTAAATGTTTAATTTATTTATTTAATATCTAATGATACAAGGTATCCAGATGTTCTAAAAAATGTAAGGGTTAGATGGACAGGATTGAGGAAAATCTGTTAAAAATGTCACTTGTTTTTTCTGTAGGCACTCGGATGTAAGAGAATGACGATTAGTGCAACTAAAATGTCTGTGTTTGATTTCTTTCAGTTGGCCAAGAAGATTCGGGAGAAGTTTAACCGTTACTTGGATGTGGTGAACAGGAACAAACAGGTGGTGGAGGCCTCCTACACCGCTCACCTCACCTCTCCACTCACTGCGATACAGGACTGCTGCTCCATACCAGCATCAATGATGGAGTGAGTAAATCCTTCTTTGACGCACTTCAACATAAAAATTCACACGGGTCTGTCTCTGTTTGTCTGATAATACTGACATCTCAGGATGAGGCTCACCCTGTGTCTTAACCCTCCTTAACTGCTTTTTTGCTTAACGGTAACACAATATTCTCCAACTCCAGTTTCTCCTTTGTTTAAACATGTCTTGATCATCCTGGGATTAGTAATAGCTGTGTATAAATCACACCATTTACAGCCTGGAGCAGGATTGGCTCGTGCTGACTCTTGGCAGCTGTTTTTAGACTCTTAGCATTTTTTGGGGACTATGAAATCAATGGTTGCTGCTTTACAGCAGATAACTCCAACAGTAATACGTGTAATGGGACTTGGAGCCTGTGACTGCAGCAAGACTTTGGTGCTAGAAAAGGATGCAGAACCAATAGAGATTTTTTTTTTTTTCATACCACCAATAAATAAATTATTTATAAATTATTTTACTAAATCAACATTTATTTCAAATACCAAATTATTGCAACTAATGTTTATTTCCTAAAATGTAATCAAGCTCTTGGCTTTTTTAGGAACATTTCCTGTGTGACAGCTGTCATTTCTTTCGGAAAGCGGGTGTGAATATCTCATATATAGGCCAAAAGAGTTTAAAACTGGCACAGTCAACTGTAGAAGCAGCCTCTCAGCCAATCATCAGCTCCAGCAGGAAGAACGCAGTTCAAAGTCAGTCTGAGAAAAAGGCCGCGCTGCTTTCAGTTCTAATCTACAGAGCGGCAGCTGCCTCTGCCCCTCAGCCCCCAACTTTATCAGCCGATGGAGCTCGTTCTTCTCTCTGAAGTTTCTGCTCTGCAGACTTCACAGACTGCAAGGTCACCCGTCTTTCCTCCTGTCGCTCAGAAAGGGGGGGGGGGGCAACTGGCTCAGAGCCACCAGCCACCTGTAGCCAGAGCAAGTGCACGGCATACTGCAAACGCGCGTGACGTGTTCGCAGATAAACGTGCTGTATTTTTGTCCAGACACATTTAAAACCGCAGCTTTGCGGCTTTAAAAAGCTGTAAGGCCCGGACAGTGAGGATGGATGACATGAATGGGGCACAGTTGTGTTGGTGGTGGACATACCAAACTGAAGTTGAGGCTGATATGTCTCTGAGCATCAAAGCAATTTTCCCAGGCGAAGACAAAAAGCACACAGCTCCTTTTGGTCCCATTTTATTTTAGATATGCATAGTATTATTCAGGTTTCTTCTCCCTAGAAGAGAGAACAGCCTGAACAGTTTACCTTTAACATCAGCGTTTGGTAAGATGAATACCTTCTGGCAAACACTACCTGGGTGCCCGACATGATCATCGTCACAAATATGTTTTTAATTTTTTTTTAAGGGACGTGCATTAGATTGTTTGAGTTGACAATCATCAAAATATTTTGCTGGTGTCTTCATCTAAAACAGCAGCTATTGCTTTCCTTCCCTTTTCAGATATTTGAACTAAGTTTCCTTATTTCCGTAGTAAACAGACATAGCCTGTACGTAAAACGTAAAAATGCAACCTTGATAAAGAATTTGTTGTAATTCTAAGATGTTAACCCCTTTGCTTAAACACTGTGTAGTTTGGAGTGGAACTCTTTAGCCAAAGCGGGCATAGCTAAGGTGGCTACTTTCTCTTGGGTTAATTTTTTGTGTGTGTTTTTTTTGTAAACACAAAATCAAATGTAAAAATAAAAAAATTATAAAACCCTAATATAGAACTTTTTTTGCACGTGGTGTCACTTTATGTTACCTTCTACAGTCCTGTGAGAAGCAGGAACTGTGTCCAATTCAGCTCTCAACGTTTCAATTTGCGCCTAACTAAATTGTCTTTTGAGTTGGTCCAAGTCGTAACAGATCCATTTGAAAAAAGCTGCCTAGTGACGAGCTGAAAGGGGACTTAGCTGGTGAAGAATATTTGCACTACTATGACCCTGACTTAGGTTGGACTTTTGACAAGACTTCAGTTCTGATTAGTCCCCTTCAGATTTGTCTCTCACTAGTTTCATCCATCAGCTGCTTTTGGGGGTCTCAGTCAGGTCATCCAGTTTAGTGGGAGATCAGGTGGTTCACAGGGTGTTCATGTCTGCTAGCCATCAAGCTGGCAGCCTATCATTTCACAGGGAGGCCACAGAGGGCAGTGCTTAACACTCTCTGGTATGCTTTAATCATCGCTTGGTCTCAACAACAGGCTGGACCCTGAAAATAGAAAATATATGTGGCTTGTAGAACCGGTGTCTGTCTCATGGGCAACTGTATGTTTATGTTTTTTTAACACGAGATCTCCAGGTGCTTATTTCAACACTTCCACTGCTATGCAGTTGTAAAAGTGAGAAGTGTGCTCCCGAGCGGCCCAGAAACCACTTTTCACCAGCTGTCACTGAAGAGGAAAGCTTTAAATGTAATCCGTATGATCATTAACTATTATTATAAGAGGAAAATGACTAAACTCCCAAAACTGCAGCCTTCTTTTACCGGTCCACTTAAAGAAGAGATGCTTTACTGAACACTGAGCCGATGGTGCTGGTTCATAAACTGTGTGCCTCAAATGTTCCAGATGATGAGGACACTTTCCTCCTAACAGATACTGATTTGTCTGCATTCATGAGTGGACTTTTTAGAGCCATGGACATATGATATAACTTGTTATTTTATTGGAAAAATCATCTTTTACTTTTTCATTTATTTCAAATTATTTTCTTTTGTTAGTCTCATGACTGCTTCTTACAGCCATCTATGGATAAAAAAAAGTGAAAAAGCCTGTATTCGGAAAATTTGGTGCACTTAACTTTCCAGTTCTGTGCTGTTTTGCTTTTTTGTTGATCTCATATAAAACTAAAAAACTCGTTTAAAACTCAGGTCTGCTTTTTCCTGTTTATTTTAACAGCTAATGTAGCATAAGTGATTCAAAAGATTAAATAAAAACGTGTTGATTAAAAAAAGTATTTAGCTTGCTGCACACAACACAAAATACCCATTTTTGACTTCAGTTGTCATAGGGCAATATACCATTTGTGACGCAGTTATATCAAATTAGAGATCAAATTTCAGAATGTTCCAATAAACATTAAAATTTGCATAGCGCTAATGCTTAGCTCCTGTTTCTGAAGAAGCACTCTCACTATTCGAGCTGCTGGCAGACTGACAAGTCACTTCAAGGGTATATGTTGCGCTGGCGAGAAGCTGCTCAGACTTTGCATCAAGCCGATCTTCTGCTTCTCTGGCTGCACAGTCAGCACAATGGGGAGATCTCTGTCTGCACATTAGAGAAGTATATGGCCAAACCTCAGCTGGGTTGGCAGCGGGGTTTTATTTAAGCCACTCTAACAGGTGTAAATGCTTTTTTTCCCCTTTCACCAAATGCCTTCAGTAATGTCAACCTCTTCAGCTTTCCAGCTTGGCTCTGGTCCTCCTTGTCCCCAGGTCCTTGCTCTCCTTTAACATTCTCATCTAGTAAGTCAGAGTTCCATCGTCTGTTATCCTCCATCATAATTTCCTTGTTTCCAGTCGACCACAGGTTCCATGCAGCACTGGCCTCGGTTTAAAACCAGGAACACATGTTACAACAGGGTCTTATTGTTTCCTTTACATGACCTGCTCCCACAAACAAGCAAAAAAGGTTCCAGGAGTAGGATTGGTTACCAGGATTAGTTTGGTCTGCCATCTACCATCACCAAGTGTGTTAGTACACAGCTGTGCCCTGAGCTCAGGCACAGTTTAATTATCTGTGTAAGAGAGACGTGGGCCTTTGAAGTTTTCTTGGAGGCAATTGAAAAACCGAGAAAAGAGGACAACAAATTAAATAATGAAACTGTGTTGGTTTATTTAGGCATCAGCTTTTTCCTGCTTTGAACAATGTCTGCTTATGATGTTTTAGGGGAAACCTCTAAGTTTGCATATGTTTTACTAGTGTCCATGAAGCAATAAAACTTCAGAATGGATTGAAAGGAGTATGTTTTGCTCTTCACAATAAGGCAGAATTCTAAAACGTATGTTATTGAATATATTTCTCAACATCTTGAGAATGCATAACAGTATTCTAAGTATATCTACTTACTCAGCCCAACAGACGAAATAGAATTAGATTCAAATATGGTGGCGAACCATTACAAAGTGTGGTAGATAGAGGCGTGGCAGAAATGTTCAAAGACCGGGCTGAATGTATTGGGGTGTTTTTTTTTGTTGCTTGGCAACGACTTGGCTGATGATGTCGCTCAGTATTGACAGCCAACATAGGTGTACCTGAACTCGGTCAACTCGTTAGCGGGAGAAACCATTCCGGCGGCAAAATCTTCAAACAAGCCTCTACGCATTTTTAGATAATCTGTCTTTTATTGAAAACAATATGTACAAAATCGCGTCTCACATTTCGAGAAGTTTTGCATTGATTCATAGTATATTCATTAGTCATAATTGATAATGCACAACTAACAGAACCAAATGTATTTTTAGTTGCTAAATATTGGATTTCGTCACTATTCAGTTGGAATGCCGACCTCGGTTTGAAGTACTAAATCACAAGAAGGGAATCAGTCGTGTCATCGCCGTGAATGCTGAGACAGAATCAAAACCCTCAAGAGCCTTTTCTCCACTATTCCCATTAGTGAAATAGCTGCTGGCAACAAAACTGTTTTCCTATTTCTCTTCTACATTCTGGCATTACACTCAAATCTGTTGGGGTAGATCTGTCATCCAGAGCCAGATACATGAAAGGCCTTCTTCAAGCAATTATTTTTCCAGCTAGCATGTTGCTTGCTTTACCACTGCTACTGCCAGGGGATTGCAAACACATTACAAATGGCGTTACTCCTTAAGGCTCACACAGCAGCAAGCCTCTTCAAGGTAATTGTTCTCACAGGGATTTATGAATGGTACGGGCCGGTTGCTTTGTGAATATCCATGCTTTGTGTACCGGTGTGCAGCTTAATGTAATTGATTCTATGAATCGGCCTGTAACTGCTGAAGACAGCAGGTGCTGCCCTAATTTAAAAGGCTGCATTTCTCACTTAGTGCTTTAGATAAAAGGATTTCAGATATTTTCTCTAGTGTCTTGGCTTGTCGATGCGTAAATTGTTTTTCTCCTGCCACAAATTCATGTTGACTTTACATCAATGGTATATCCCAGTTTTACGTTGGGTTAACTTTTCAATCAGTTCTTACAAGAATTATGGAGAAATATTTGGTTCTGGGTAAATTAACTTATTAAGTTGTTTTTATCAGATTTTTACTTTTTTTCCTTATGAATGTTTAGTACCAGAAGTATCATAATCAAGCTTTAATTTAATAGAATATCTCTATTCTTAAACACTGTAAGAATTATTTGAAGTATTATTTTTGCAATATTTATAGATGTTAGTTTGGGTTTGCAAATTCTACATCCTATTTCTATTAAGGGAAATCCAGCTTGCGTGTGTATTATGTGTGCATTTAACAGATTCTTCTGCCCTCATTAAGATGTTTGGTCAGACTTGAAGCTCTCATTCCTGCTTTTTTTCTTTCTCATGTGTTTTCTTGATGTTGAATTCAAAGCAGCTGCAATTTTTTTTTCTTTTTATTTGGAGCATATTCTCGTGCGCCTTCTGCCCAGTGCTTTTATGCAGACTGGCTTTAAGGAGAATAGTAATGACTTTAGCCCGATGGGACTCTAAATGAGTGATGTTCAATGCTGCCAGTACATCACAGCACCTGCAATTCAAAAGGGCCACATCTGTGAGTATGCAGCATGTGTGAGTGTTTACGAGTACACGCGTGTGCATGTATCATGCCAAGTCAGAGGACAGGGACGGGTGGTGGGGGGGGTTGTCTAGTTGCAGTGAAGGAAGGATCAAAGTAACCAGGCTTGGTGCAGTGCAGAGCAGCCTGCTCCTCTGCATATCTCCCCCATTTTCAGGATTTGAAAGCCAGGCTTCGCAATAAACACTGAGTTAACATACATTAAAATAACACTGTAGTTAATATTTCTTTTTGCATGACATGTACGGATATTAAAGTGTGTTAAAGATGTTCTGATTGCTAGAAGAATTCACATTTTTGACACCCCTTTAAGACAGTTGGTAATATGATGGAGTCAAATCAGGCTGTAAAGTTGTATTTTTGTGATTGAGCAATCGGTAGAGATTGTTCACAACTCTGTCTCACATAAACAGTTGATTTTTGTATGCTAAATTTATAGAAGTCACATTTGCATACAGTATTTACTTGCCGTACACAGTGATGCATGAATTTAACAACCTGATACTGTAGAAAAAACATATTTTGACATTATAACCAGATGTCCTGTAAACATTCAAATCAAATCGCCATTTATTCCATGTTCCTTTATTTACGTTCTCCCCCTCCTTGTTTTAACTCATAATCCTTCACAGGATTTATAGCTTTGCCCACAACCTTTGCCTCTCTTCTCCTCTTTCAGGTCTTTAACAGATTGTGATTGCACAGTAACTTTGACCCAGATTTGAATATCTGCCTGTCTGAAGTTTAATCTGTTCATCAGCCACTCGGTCTTCAGTGTGGCGGAAAAACGGTCTGATTAGAGATTTAAAGTTTACGGCTCATTATATACTAGAAAAGGTAAATAAGCTGGAGTACAGTAGAGTTCAGCAAGCAAACAATTCATCATTGTAAGCTCGCATTGTGTGTCGGTTTGGTTTGGTTTGGTTTGTGTAAATATTTGAAGTGAATACATTTTTGGCAGAGCTTACCCTCTCCCCTCCGCTCTTCTTGAAATGTTTTGTTGCCTATATATGACTACATATGGAGTATATTTTTCAAAATGTGGAAATTGGATACTTTTTCTGTTCTCTATTGTGCACAAATTGAGGTTTTATAAGATTTACAAATCGGTTCTCTGTATTTTTGGAGGACATCGGTTTTGTACAATTTATGAAGAAAGCTCTTTAGAGAGAGAGCAGTTGGGCGTGTTTAGCATGTTTAACAACGGGGAATGTTGTCAGTCAAGATTTACGGTATATCTCTAGTCATTATGCATCCCCTTCATATTACGTCCGTCCAACTTCTTCTTTGCGGCAGAGCTGGAGAATCCATTGCGTGTAATATAGTTTGGAAACTTGAACAATTGTGCTTGTTATAAAAAAGAAAATGGTCAAAGAAAAACAGATAGAAAAAAAAAGTATGTAACAACACACAGTTGTGCCGAACCAAGCCTCAGTAGTTGAATTGTGCACAGATTATAATAACTTTTGCAAGGTCTATTGAATAAATGAGCAAAGAATTTGAATTAAAATCCAGTACAGATAACGTTTATAGACTTTATTTGATGGTTTGAATAGCGCCATCAAAATAGAGACCCTGTTGGGAGAGAAAAAAATCCATTCAAGCAGTTTTCCATGGAAAGTATTGTTCACAAGACATAACATCTATTTTAATTCAAAGTCTGGGCAACAGATGATGCAGCTAGTAATACAGTTTAGCTGGAATGAAACAAGCAGGGTCAATCGGTTTCTGCAGATGGTTCACGTTATTTAATTAACTTCATGGTTCTGTTTAATTCGAGTAGATCTGAGTAAACAGGTTTTCAGTAAACGCATTCATCACTGTTATAAAGACAGAGGTATGCAGGTTTTATGTAGAATAAATGGTGGACTGTTAAATCCGAGAGGAAAGCCAAAGCCGCTCCTCTAACAAATGAGCTGGACACGCTCTGCAAAATCTGAAATGCTGCCTGTTTGTGTGTGTTCAGGTTTGATGGAAACTTCAATACAAACGTCTCCAAGACCATCTGCTGTGACAGACTCTCTCCCACCGTCAACAGCCGAGCTTTCAACCCCGGGCGAGACCTCAACTCGGGTTTGTTCAACACACACACTCGCACACACAGACCAAACAGCCATTTTCTGGTATTTAAACCAACCTGGTTTAAAAGCTGACAACTGAAGCTGAATTTTGAAACGTGCAGGAATTTCATCAAAATCGCCTCGGCAACCTGTTTTTCAGAAGTTGAAATATCTCCTCGGTTACTCAGAGCTTCTGAAATTTTAACAAGGCAGGGGACACTGATGTAAGATTAAAACAAACTATGCATGTCCAGAAAGGTTGTTTTTAAGTTCTTTCATGTGCCCTGTTCCTTTTTCTTTATCCATTTCCTTTTTTCAACCTTTCATCTAAAATGCTTTTTTCTTACTTTGAGATCAAATAAGCCCTGTTTGACTTTGAACTCTTGTCTGCAGTTGTTTCCAGGTAGTATATGATTAATCTTCCTGTTGTGAAGGGTTGTCGTGTTGTTTTTTTTTTCTTCCCCGAGTGTGTTTTTACAAGAAATTGTGCGTTTGCCGCCCGTAACCTCAGCATGCACATCACTGATGACTGGATTTGGAGCAATGGAAAACGGTTTGATGATGCCAAAATCCATTTATCAAAATTCCAGAACGAATAAGCACATTGCGGACTGATACCTTGTAAAACCTGCACGTGTTTGCATCACGCATGGTGTGTATCTGATTAGGAACAAAAATGGACCATTTTCTCTGAAGGTTTATGAAGCCAACTTTCCTGTGCTGCCTTTTCTGTTCTGCTGCCATCGCCCTGTTAACTCCTGCTTCCAGGATCAAACTGGAGGACATATGCTCATAACACAAAGACTTAATTTTCCAGAAAAAATCAAGCAACTTAACATAGAAAGTACCTCAGGGTCTGTCCTGTAAAAACACTGAAAAACAGTGTGTTTTTTCACAAACTTAATCTACACATCTCTGTATCATCTCACTGTTTTAGTTTTAAAAAGTCATTTTTAGTTTTTTTCATATTCTTGTATAAATGTACTCATCCTGCATGTAAGTACAGTTTGAATAGCTTTATCTTAAAAGAACTCTTCAAGGTCCAATAAGCATAGTGGACAGCCATCTAATCTGGAATGTTCTGAACACTGCACTCTTTCATGGCTCCTGAGGTATCAGTCCTACCCTTCCTCTTTCTCCATCATCATATGCCCGTCCTGTGTCATCCCATAGCTGCCTCCACCTCATGGTTTTTTCCAGGATCCCCTCCCTGAAAACCATTCATAATGATTGCCATTCATTGCATGTCGCCCATGGCCGTTTTTCCCTGCACACCCATTGTGGCGAGTTCAAGTTACCCTTCTGCCTCGCTTCTCCTCTCTCCGTCCCTCACACTCAGCCCTCCTTGACCCCCATACTCCCAGTTTATTCATTCTCTCCCATTTGTCTCAGCCCAGTCTAAACAAGCTGTTGCAGACAGAAGAGAGGAGTGGCTTGGAGAGTGAGGGATAATTGAGAAGGAGAGAATGATAAATGAACGGAAAGAGAGAGAGGGGGTGCGAGCTGATGGAAATGGAATAATTGCATGGACTTCATTGTATTTCGTCCATCTTCTCCCCTTTCATCTACAATTTTGCTCTTTGAGAAAGGAAAGGGGAAGATGGTGGCTAAGGAAGGCTTCTGTGTACCAGCAAGCGGAGAAGGGAAGGCAGGTAGATGAGAGATGACAGGGGCTGAGTGCAGCTTGATTACAGCACTAGTTTGATATTTCTTATTTTCTTTTCTTTTCTTTTTCTTTTCTTTATTCTTTTTATTTCAGTCTTCATCAGCAATTTCAGCGATATAACCTCCAGAGTGATGTTATGCTCATTCTCCTCCCGTTTATTCATTTATTTACCACATCTAACATCACATGGCTATTTGTCCTTTTGTGCAGTTGATTTAGTGAGATGTCTACTACTTTTACCCACAATGTTTTTACTAATAACAAGGAAAACCTCCCCAAAAACAAATGAAAGAGAAACCATCTCTGTTGGGCTCCTGAGCTTTATTTCATGTGAAATGTAGGCTCTTCCAGGTGTAATTGACCAGTTGCATATAAAGTCCCTGGATGCCATGAATGCTACTGTCACCATGTAGTAGTCGCTGCATTGCCTAGTGTTCCAGTTGAACATTTTATGTGTTTTTGCCTTAATGCTGAGATATCAAAGCCCTTTTAATTGACATAGACATTTTAATGTTGAGGGAAATATATGTGATGTGGGTCCTATTTTTTTGTTTTGTCCATCTGTTTCTGAGAGATTTAAACATTGGTGGCTGAATTGATCACTGTAACCTGACATTTGTATACACTGTCCCTCTTCTGCTGTCAACACGACTGAGTGGTTCCTGTTTATATGAGCCACAAGATGGATTGAGTGACAAGGCAAGGGTGATATATGATGGGCGACACTTCAGTGTCCCAGTCGAGTAGTCTTTGGATAACAGAAAGAGGGCAGATGTTCTTTTGGCTGCTTTTCTGGCTGTTTATAATGCTTTCTATTTTTCCAACTTATTATTTTGTTTTTTCCTTACAATGTGTTTCAATGTCAGTTGTGTTTTATACTTGGTCTTTTACCATCCTAAAGTGATCTACGAGCTCGCTGCCTAAAGAGAAAAAAAAAACTTAGGGTGTTGGGACATGACTGGATATGGTAAAAACAAGTTTCTTTTTTAGATGATTAATTCAGTGCAGCCACAAGCCAAGAACCACACGGTTGGACTATGTAGACCCAGCTGACAGGGAAAGCTGTAGTTAGCATGTTTGGCGATGGCAGTAAATGTAATTAAGAAGACATTTGAAATCATGCTCGAGGTCACATAAACATGTTTTTTCAAATGGAAGATCATGAAAATTTAGCTGCAGCTCATGCAAAGGTTGTATTGTTGATTTTTATACCGGGTCATTTCATGCATCAGTTACACAGACTCAGTCCATGTAACACGATCATGGACATCCTGTGGTCAGGGAGAATGTTGTGAATGTAGCACTGACTGCTGTCTTCTGTAGGTAAGACACAGAATACTCTTACTTTAAGTCCTTCGCATAACCCGTTTGGAGGAAAAACTAATTATGGTGACCACATCGGCCTCTTTTGTAATAATGCGTAACATTCTCTAAGGCGTTGTCAAGCTGGATGTTAAGCTCAGATATACATTCAGAATCGAGATGATTGAGGTCAGAGTGCACCATTTCATGTAATAATTTCACCCGAATTCCTTTTGTCTTTTTTCCCTCTTTTTTCAGTCCTTGCTGACAACCTGAAGTCCAACCCTGGCATAAAGTGGCAGTATTTCAGCTCAGAGGAGGGCATCTTCACCGTCTTCCCAGCCCACAAGTTCCATTGCAAAGCCAACTATGAGCACCGGAGCAGGTATAGACTAAGCCGCACCTCTGTTAAAATGGTTTCTTCTTTTCATATTCACATGTTGGATATGTGTTAAAATATTGAAGTTGATAACAAATCAATATGTGGCACACATGCAACAGGGACAGCATGGTTGTCGAAACAAGCTAGAACAAATGTTTTTTGTTTTTTTTACCCATACTCTTGTCAGCCTTCAGCCACTCTGTCACAGCCACTCTGTCAGTTGCTGGGGGGGGGGCCCAGAGGGCATGCCCATGGCATGCTGCCCTCATACTCCACGACCACACATGCCCTCAGCAGGAATGTGGCTTTGTACCACTAAAGTCTGTTGGAATTTCACACCTTCAGTGTTGTGTTGTTTTTTGTTTTTTTAAAATCCAAATGAAAGACATCTCTCTTCTGCCCGTTTAAAATTCATCTCTCTTCTTTCAAGATGTCTTTTCTTTTCTGTTCAAATTGGCAGCCTGGCAAAGATCCATGGAGATATGACGTTGTTTTGCCTGGTGTGAATGGGGCTTTGTGAGGACTTAGCTCCCCTTTTTTGCCCCGTGTTGGTGACTCCTTGTTCTGCAGACCACACACAGAGGCTTTGACCACCCGGAGCTTATTATACTTGTGTAATAACACATACAGGGACACACACACCTCAAATGACTGTTTGAATGAAAGGAATTATGGATTGCATCATCAGATATTTTCATATTGCTTCATACAGTTGAGAAAAACTTTAACCCTCTGGTATCATGTTTGTAGAGGTGATCCACATATAGTTTTAGTATTTCAAATGTTTAGTATGAAAACTTGCCAAAACAAATATCTCAGAGAAGCTTGCCTTCATCAGATCACTGTTTATAGAAGGGGCTCCCCCTCATCAGCAGTAACACCTGTATCCTGCATCGCCTGTACTTTCATCATTGAATTGAATTATTCCTGTTTGGGAGAAACAAAAATAATAATAATAATAATAATTCATAATACCGAAACACAGTGTTATGAGCTGTAAAATGAAATACCACACCAATGTTTTGGATGGCCAACTCTGTGATGACAGTGTGAAAAAGAGGGAGCATCAAGCCTCCTTCGAGGCCTAAACACTGCCGAGTCTGTTCAGTTACTGTGCTGTCTGACTAAATTCCTACCTGCTTGTATGTGTTTTTCCCTCGCAGGCCCGTGTACGTCTCTGCGGTGCGGCCACAGTCTAAACACATTGTGGTGATGGTCGATCATGGAGCGTCTGTAACTGACACCCAGCTTCAGATCGCCCGAGACTCAGCGCTGGTCATCCTTAACGCCGTAGACGAACATGACAAGGTTTGATCTGTCAAATGTCAAACATACATACACACACACATAAGTATTCTGTAGAAAATCAATGGGAGATTCTAACTTTGATTCAAATGAAATAGCTTTTTGTGAAAATTTGATTGTTTTTCTTGCCAGATTTCCATCCTGTCAGTGGCTGAGACAGTCCGCTCCTGCTCCCTGGACCAGTGCTACAAGAGTCTGCTGTCTCCAGCCACCAGTGAGACCAAGAGGAAGATGAGCACCTTCATCTCCAACATCAAAGCCTCTGACGGAGCCACGCAACATGCAGCCGGCTTCCAGAAGGCCTTCCAGTTACTGCGCAACACCAGCAGTCTCAGCAAACAGAGCAGCAGTGAGAAAAACTGTGGCTGTTTCAGCAACTGAATCCATTTTTGTACTTTTGTTTGCTCAGTCAGCCTCTGCCTTTTAACGGATGATAATCATAATCAACTGTCCCAGCTCTCCGTGTGACACGTCTGTCCTCTGTCAGCCACAGACATGGTGATCATCTACCTTTCGTCTGGAATCACGTCTCGAGAGTCGTCAGAGCAGGAGAAGAGAGCCACTCTCGGTGTGGTCAGAGAGGAGAACCGACACCTCAACAACTCGGTCATGATCCTCACCTACGCCTTAATGAATGGTGGGTTGTTCGGATTCAGGACGTCTATTTTTGGCTTCCACAGATGTATTCAAATACGGTCAAATCTTTATTAGCAGTGCATCATTCATCGCGGCTCATATTTTCACCTGCACTTAAAACTTTGTCCACATCTAGACCCATCTTAAGTGAAAGGGAAGTTACCCTCTCTACATATTTTCAATGGTATTTAATACAATTTCTTTTGGGTTTATTTAAATGAGCAAGTAAATACTTTAACAGATAAGAATCAGTGTCCTTGTTAGCAGATAACGGGAAAGAGGGGATATCACTTACATTTCTAAAACAGTCTGCAGTGTTTGTTCTTAAGATAACATCAGAGTCATATCCTTACATCAGCTGTTACATGGGATTTGAGTAAACATTTAGATGGAGATGTAGTCTCGTTGGGAAATGAAATACTAACTTTGATCAGTTTTCTTTTTCTTTACAGAATCATAGTTTTGCTGAATTGGTTTTGATTCCATGAAATCTGCTATCCTTATTTCTTTTATTGCTCTGCATTGAGCCCATTCTGAATGACATTGTGTGTTTCAACAACCCAGCATTAGGTGGTCTCCTTTCTTGTGTACATAGTGCTCAACTGAAAACTTATGGTAATAGATGCCCTGAAACCTCCTCTGTGTACGTGTGTGTGTGTGTGTGTGTGTTGGTGTGAGGCATTCTTTTTTTTCCTCACTCATTGTCCTTTTCCATCCATCTGCCTCTTCCAGTACCCACCTTCCTCTGCAACACACATACACTCACTCCTGATGTGCATGCATTAGTCCACCATCAATACAAATAATTTTTGCATCGGAGAATGGAAATGAGGTACATCTAAGAGAGAAGAGAGTGAGACTTCAAAGGGCGTGCGGCTCACTCTGTGCGCAACTTACATAGGACCTTGGCTCTTTAAAGCGAGATGATGAAAAGGATGCAGAAATCTCTCATGCTCCGAGTTTATTAGCATTGCATATTCCAAAAAAGAATTGTTTTTGTCGGTGATGCTCTTGCATGATGCTGAAAGGCCTGCTGTGGGTGTGGGAGTCTTATGTGCTGCATCTCGTGCCAAATGTGAAGTGCTGATTGTTAAAGAGATCATCAGTCTCTCAGTACTACAATGCACAGTTGTGTGTACGAGAGGCAGGTAAAAAATAGATGTTTTATAATCAAGAGACTCAATTTTGTATGTTTTCTTGGCCCCTCACAGTGCTATTAAATCAGAAAGATAACATTTATTTTATTATTATATATATCCCCCTCAAGTTTTTTAGGTACGTCTTGTACCAAAGCCCCCATGCTCATCCAAGTAAGAACAGCATGTGTTGCCTCTGTGTCATAAAGTCTAATGAATAGGTCCTTGGGGCGTCAGCATTTTTGAAAAAAATACTCATTGATGTTGCTACCCATGGCGACATCGCCTCCACTCTGAAGCCCAGAGTGGTGATCAAAAGAGTAGAGCTTGGCATTAAAAAGGGATTCGGCCATAATCCAGTCAGCGATTGGACGCTGGCGGTCATTCTGCTCTGTCCTTCCCGATAGGCTGCGGGATGCCAAATGTTCCAGGTGACAGCTGTAGGGCCCTGCCATCCATCCACCCTGTGAATGACCCTATGATGCCTGGAAAGATAAAGTCTAAAGTGGGCATTAACATATGAGCTGGATGTTTTCTTTAACGTGATACAGTATTCATGAATGTCATGATCTCTGAGCTTAGCAATCTTAGCAATTCATGCCGAAACATTACGGACGATCTGACCATTCTAATTTACTGCGGGTTGTTTCCAGTTTCAACCATGTGGAGGTTATTTACTCCCAAAATAAACTCCTCAACAGAAGAAATGCTTTAAATTCAGTCACAAAAACCATTACTTCAAGGCGCTGGGCCTTCCACCAGCTCCTTGAACTGATAGTCTTTTTTTTAAAGATGGACAAAGAAGAGAAGGAACCCTCTTTTATTAGGAATTTTGAGTCATGCACTCTCTAGTTAAGAGCTGTTTACTCTTTTCAGCTGCCTTTCAGCCACTCCCTCCGCTTTTCATTTGCACAATTACCATCCTCAATAGAGCTTCTGGCAAGCCATCAATTACAGATTCGTTTGGAATATTGCTGTCTGATTAAATCAAACAAATGCCGTCATTGGCTCGCCTTTTCTTGTCCATAACTCAATTTCTGTACCACTCCCTCTTTTTCCTCCTTCAGAGGGGGTTACAGGCTTGAAGGAGCTGGCCTTCCTGAGAGACCTCGCTGAGCAGAATTCCTTGAAGTATGGCATGGACAGAGCGTACGAGCGAGAGCGCTCGGCGGCCGCGTCCTCCGGCTCAGCAGCGGCTTCCATGATGCCGGTGGTGAAGGGCAGCATGATGGTGTTGAACCAGTTGAGCAATCTGGAGACAACAGTCGGGCGCTTTTATATCAACCTGCCCAATCGCATGATAGACCTGGCCCGCTTCAGCCTCCCCTACACTGACCCAATGGGGGACGGTGAGTGTTGGACCCTCAAAAAAATACACTCCAGAACCAATGTGAAATGACCCCAGCTTGTAGACAAACAGTTTTTTAATCAATGTTATTCTTGGATCAAAAGGGTTTATTATGACGGTGAGCCGGCCGTGTTACTTTGGGAACCTACTCCTGGGTGTTGTCGGGGTGGATGTAAACCTGGCCTACATCCTGGAAGATGTCACCTACTACCAAGACTCCCTGGCGTCTTACACCTTCCTGATTGACAACAAAGGTCAGTCACACCATCCTGCCCATGAAGCACTGTGAACATTTCTGTAGACACTCTTCAAGACTTCAACCTATGTGTTTTCAGCCTCTTTCCGTCAAATACCGATATGGCACAGCAAACTATTGTCGCATGAGGATAACCTTTTTTTTTTAGTAGTCACCCAAACAAACATTTGTCAAAGGAAAAACTCTGCAGCTAGGAACAATTTCTAGTCATATTTTTCAGTGTTTGTTCTACATAGAGGTGGAATTAAACTTTATTTGGTCTGTCTTAACCTCCAGACAGATGTTACTTCCTATTAGACTTAATTGACATCTTCTCGGTAGCTCTGGCACTTCTTTGGCATTTAATTGGCTGTTTTGCCAGGCTTCAGGAAGTTGCCACATTGCCGAACGGTGAGTGCCTGTGTCCGGTCCAGGTTTGCTTTGGCCTCAGCTGAGAGGCAGTTTGACTCACCTACTGCTGTTGCGAAGTTAGAGCTCCGAGGGGCTGACGAGAAGGTACATTAGTTTTCAAGGAAATTCTATTTTTTTTCTAGGTAAGGGAAACATGAATTATTTCATTACAAGATGAGAAGTGAAGCACCTCTTTATGTGTTGATGTGATGTGTTTACGCTTAGCTCCTGAAGGCAGTTTCTGCCAATTCATAGATATGAAAAAGAAGTTTAACAGTAGTTAAAGGGAACGGTTGCAGAGTTTTGTGAGAATCTTTGAAGGGAACAGCAATGAAGGACAGGTTGGGGAGGGAGAGGAAGGAGATGGGGTTAAGCGTGGAGGAGCCATTAAAACATCTGCTGAGTAGGTTATATTTGGTCACCTGGAAAGCTGGAATAAGAGTTCAGCTTGTTAACTGTTCTCTGTTAAAGAATTTTGAAATGTATGAGTTTTGCTTCTTTTGTCACACCTTTCAATGAGTCCCTTTTTTTTCTTTTATTACCCTTATAAGTATGCCAGCAAATTATGGCTTTTTATTGCGACCGCCTGCTGAAGTTGAAGGAAAGTGCTGCACCCCCACAAACAGGGACAAACCAGTCCCATTAAAGATGTCATTCGAAACATCTGCTGCCAATTAGTGCAAAAATATGCAGCTGACAAAAAGGCGTCTAGACTAAAGAGCTGAAAATAGCAGAGTGCATTTGAAATATTTTTGTATGGGAAACATTAAACTTAACTCGTGATATTTTCAGACTGTTTGTATGGATCAAAACCAGGCAGGCTATTTTTTTAATGCAGTTTGAACCTTAGATGTTGTAGAGTTTCATAAGAGAAAGAACTGTGAGCCAGAATTGAAACATTTAGTTTGTAATTTTTCTTTTTTTTTTTTACATTAGATGTATTAAGTCTATATTCTCTCTGTAAGGCCATATCATTTTTAGTTTATGCAGCTACCTTACATTGAAACAATAAAAAATCTGATGTAACTTAAAACCGAGTATGGATGATTTAATAAAGTTTCATTCGTTCATTCGTGGAAACAAGTTTTTTTTTAGAGCATGTTAATTCTTATTTCTACACCTTTAGTTGGAAAACAAACCTGTAGTCTTTCTTCTCTCTGAGCATAGATTTAAACCAGTAAGTTTGAATCTATGCTTGAGTCAGGCTTTTGTTCTTGTACTTTTCTAGCTGATCCGTTTCTAATGTCAGTCGATGTTTCTTTTTTGTTTCTCTGAAATCCCCAAACATGTATATAGGGTACACTTTGATGCATCCGTCGCTGACGAGGCCCTACCTGATGACAGAGCCTCCCCTGCACACAGACATTATCCACTATGAGAATATTCCAGGATTCCCTGCTGCCCGACAGAACATCCTTGGGTGAGAGAAGCAAGATGGATAGTGTGTGAGGGGGGGATTAGAAAAACAGAGAGCTCCTTTTGCCAGGGGTGTTCTCATTGTGTTCTAAAATATATTTTTGAGGGCATTTTGTGATTCAAAATATGCTTGTTTTTATTTTACAGCCTCCCTTTGGGCAGTCAGGTCATTACAGTACCAGTGAACTCCTCTCTGTCGTGGCACACCAACAGGCTCAGGGACAACAGCAAAGAGGCTTACAATGTCAGCTACGCATGGAAACTGGTAGGTAGAGACTTAACAAATATCATGTAAATATCACTGTGCATACATATCACCTCCATTCAATTAAATGTTTCTTACACTTCACACAACATTGTTTCTTCATAGTAACATAATGCTACTGTTTGCCAAAGAGAAATTGTATGTCAGTAAAAAAGAAAAACCCGATGTAAAATCAGTCAATATTTTCATTTCAATGTCAGCAATTACAAAAACAGTGTTTGCAGAAAAATGTTCCGCCCGACGAAGAACAAGTTCTCTCACAGTCAGTCTCTGAACCAACCACAACTGTTGTACTTGGAACAATATCGACCTCATTTACTTTAACTATGTATTTTCCCTCTGTGTCAAAAGCTCCTTGTCATTACTTCACCACTCTCTAAATGCAGCGTAGAGGTTTCTGCTCCCAGTCTTTACATCTCCACCAAACCTTCATCACGTCAAATTAGTCAGTGTAATAAAAACCAAGCGCTCTCAAACCCGTCAACCGTCCCCCAAACATTTGAATCTACTTTCCCCTCAGAGGACCAGAAGTGTCATTTTAAAGGAAGAAATGCCAAAAGGACAGCAGCGAGATCATTTCAAAACTTCTTTTTACATTTCGGCATATACAGAAATTTTGTTGGACGTTTGAGTTAAGCATTTCACATCAGCCTCTTTTTCAAAGCTGCGGACACCTTTGGTGTGTGTCTGGTAGGATGCTTTTTTTAAGATGGGTTTTCCAGACAGAACAGAAAAAGTCTAATTCGGGGTAGAAAACCATTTGTCTACCATGTCAGTTTGAAACATGCCCATTTTCTATTGGTGGTTTTCACTTCAAACAAAAAAAGTTGGCTGAAAAAATTGCAAAGGGGGGAATTGGCTTTTCTTTCCTCTCGAGTGCTTTGGAGCCTCCAAGGTCCAGCTGGGGTCCAGCTTATTGTACGCTGAACACTTTGCCTGATCTAGCAGTATAAACTCTGATGGCTCTCCAACTCTTCATGTAAAAATCAGTGTAATAAAAGCAGTTGTTAAAATGGACATGTTTTTCTGCCTGAAGCAGAAAAGCTGAGCTGGAAGAGAAGAGCTTTGGCTGGCTTTAAGTTATTAGCAAAGCTGGAAAAGAATCACAAATATGCATTAATGCTCTGTGTTGATCAAAAGATATTTGAGAGGTGTGTTGAGTTTACTCCCATTAACAATGGGAACAGGTCAATGTTGGATATGAAAACTGCAGTTTTATTCAATCAGGTAAGCCCCAAAGACCTAAAACACCAATAAATGAAACATGAAGGGAAATATATTTTATTCCTAAGTTCCATGATGCTTTCTGGTTTTACAAATCTTTTTTAAAGCAGAGTGAATGTTAGCTGCACTTAGTTTTTACTTCACTTCAATTGATTGTGATATTAAATATTAATTTAAGGTCCACTGTCTTTTGGTATTGTCTCGTAGGTCCAGGACACAACATTCATCCTTTGCATTGTGTACGTACAACCGGAGATCCCAGTAAAGCAGCTAAAGAACCTGAACACAGCTCCCAGCTCAAAGCTGCTCTACCATCGTTTAGATCTTCTGGGTCAGCCCAGCTCCTGCCTGCACTTCAAGCAGCTCGCCACTGTTGGTGAGAAAAAGAGCTAAACCAACAGCCCTGGGACAAATTTAGTTTAAAAGTTTAGCTTTTTAACCATCTTTGACCCTGCTTTCCTGTCTGTTTCCCAGAATCTCCGACAGTGATGCTGGCAGCTGGTAGTTTCTCATCCCCCTATGAGCACCTCAGTCAGCCAGAGACAAAGCGGATGGTGGAGCACTACACAGCCTACCTGAGTGATAACACCAGGCTCATAGCCAACCCAGGCCTCAAGGTACACCACCACAAAAGCCGTTTACCGGACAAACATGCAGCTCACAGCAAGGCCCAACCTGAGAGTGCACATGTACACACATAGAGGGATGATCATGTCTAGCTAACAAACATATGCCACATCTACTGTCCTGAATCAGATTCTAAATAAGGTTTTGTATATGTTTTCATACATCATGTTTAAAATGCAGATAATTACTCCCACTTTCATGCTTAGAGTTTTTTGGCTTACTTTTTAATGCATTTTCTTCTTTTTAATTCCGTTATTCTTGCTGTCAGGCTTTTGAGGCTGCCGACAGTGGAACAGCAGTTTCCTAAAAATGGAAAAGATGTTCTGCTTCTTTAAGAAAGAGACAAAGCCCCTAGTGGGTTTTGGCATTCTGTGTGCATTCCTGTCCTGGAGGGGGGGGAGTAAGAGTTTGAACTCCAAACCCCAGTCCCAGTCCTAACTCAGATTCCCAGGCTACACTTAAAGACCCCCTCCAGTGACTTCATCACCCCCTTCAAACTTTGGTGCTTATCATGGAATGGTTGTGTGATGGGATTTCTTCAGGGATTTTGGGGCAGGTCTTGTTGGATTGCTCCCTTAAATCCACCTATTTGAGCCGAGCGTGTTTGGAATTTCTTGATAACACTTTTTGTTCTAGAATACAGCCTATAACGGACAGAATTTGTGTACACTTTTTTGTAAAAAGTGTTTTAACTTCTCACTTTATTTCCCACCTTTTCCCTCCTCTCTTCCATCATTCATCCTTCCATCTTTCCCCCTCTGTAGTCCTCTGTCAGGAATGAGGTTATGGCAACCAGTCATGTCACGGATGAGTGGATGACATTAATGGAAATGAGTAGCCTCAACTGCTACATTGTGAGGCGTTACATAGCAACGCCCAGCGGGGTGCTCCGGATTTACCCTGGATCACTGATGGACAAAGCATTCGACCCGACCCGCAGACAATGGTGAGGCTTACTTTGGAGGGGGTAAAGAGGGAGGAAGAAAAGAGTGAAGGTGTGTGTGTCTCTGTGTTTTAGGGGGAGGAATAGAAGTTTTGATTAGTTGTGGGTTGGTTGGAGTTGAAAGAAGACATGTATGATCCCTTATTGATTTCAATCTAACCAGTGAATGTTGAGAATAATCAGCCACTTTTAAAGCTAGTGATTATTTTCTTAGTGTCAACCTTCAATCCAGATTAAAACTTCCCTCAAAAACAACACACAACCCCTTTGATGGTTGGTTAGATCAGGTCATATTACTAGATGGTAAAATGATTAGGACACAATTTAACCAGAGCTCTTTAGTTTAACATTGACATTAAACCGGGTCATTGTTTACAATGTCACTGGAGCATTGCTCAAATGGAGACTAAACTTTGACAAAGAAAACCATACATATTTAATATTTGCTTTGTGAAATGGTCTCATCTTCATCTCTGACTGTTTTGTTTAGGTACCAGCATGCTGTGGCCAATCCAGGCCTCATTACCTTCACAGGGCCATACCTGGATGTTGGCGGAGCGGGCTATGTGGTCACCATCAGCCACACCATTCATGCCTCCAGGTAGAAAGTGGTATTTTTACTCCAGTGTGATGTCGAGTCTTATTTCCTCAAATATATTTCTTGTAGGAGTATTGAGTGGCTCGTCTGGTAAGTCTTTTCCAGGCCATTATTGTAGGCAGTAAGCCCAATTCCAGAAGTAATTTCACAGAAACCGATCTGTGAATACAGGAAACCGTTTGAGAGATGAAATGAGACATTAAATGTGATGTCCACTTTTGCCTTAAGACAGTTGAGGGAGGATGATTACACAACACATTAACACTAAATCGGTCAGATCAAAGCATCAAACTGAGCATCTGATCTTTTAAAAAATATCATCCAAAAATCCTTTAACCAAATAATATTTTATGTCCCAATAACTTCAAAGTTTCTGCCCTTCCGTCGTGGCGCTGTGCATGTTAGAGTCATAGCAGAAGTCAGATCAAGTTTACTTTGAGATGATTGCAAGACCAGTCTTCAGAAAGTCCTGGGGTTAGATTAGATGATTTGTTTCTTGTTCAGTGAGCCTAAAAAGCATCTCCCTGTGTTGTTCACAGCTGCACAATGCAAACTGTTTACCACGGTCCATGCAAAAACTCTGTAGAAACACAAACATCAGTGTGTGTGTTTGTGTGTGTGTGTGTGTGTGTGTGTGTGTGTGTGTGTGTGTGACAATCAAGATTATTCTCGTGACTGGCTCAGTGAGCATAACAAACACTGTAGAGTGAACGCAGATTTCTAACAAACCAGCAGTTTATGTTTGTGTTTTTATAGTCTTTTTCTTGTCTGCTCTTGTACAGGCTCATTTGAAAGCATTACTTAACTGACCTTGAAAGGTTTATTTCCACAGATTTTAATCTCCGTGTGTCCTCTCCTCCTCTGTCTTCTGCCTGTAGCTCTCAGATGGCGCCGGGTTATGCAGTGGCAGTGATGGGTATAGATTTTACTCTTCGTTACTTTTATAAAGTCCTACTGGACCTGTTACCCATCTGCAACCAGGACAAAGGCAACAAGATCCGGTAGGAAAATAATTTGATTGAATTTGACTATTAACTAAATAAGATTATTCTTGCAGTTTGTTCCCTTTTTTTTTTATCCCAAGTTTGATCTATGCAGTTTAGTTGCATTTCTGTTTAACTGAGCAAGAACTAAAGTTGCTGAGGGACTGAAAAGATCAATGGAAGATGGATAAGCTGATTATCATTCCTGCTGGAGAGCACATTGTTGCAGCTGTGGTCACACCTCCTCCTTAATGAGTCCCCACTGCTGTCTGCCATCAGTGGGAGATGTAGGACATTTGATTTGACATGCCCTCTATACTTCTATTTCCGTTTACATTGTAGGTGTTTTATAATGGAGGACAGAGGCTACCTGGTTGCCCACCCTACACTGATTGACCCTAAAGGCCACGCCCCTGCAGAGCAGCAGCACATCACACACAAGGTAAAGAAGTCCGCACCCATATGTGGGATGATCAAGGATTATTAAAAACAAGAAACAATCATCTTTTACCATCGCTGTCCAGAACTGAATGAAAGATAACTGAATGAAACTAAATTGGAATCCAGTGATCTGGAATTCTGTCCTAGTATTTGATGCCTAAGAAATTGGTAACAGGGACAGGCAACTATGACCAGTTGTTTAGCTTCTCAGAAAAGATCAGAAGAGTTGCACAAAGAAGAATAAAGACTTTCCAAGATCCCCTTGTGAATGTATGGGTTGAACAGTAACCCTACATCTGTTAGGCTGGGAGTATCAAGCAGTCCTTTTTTCTTTGAGAATAACATCTACCCAGCAGGGAGAGGTTTGCAGCATACCAATACTTTTCTGTATTTAAGCACTTCTGTCCACCTGCAGGCAAGATAAGTTCAGCTAAATTAGTTGCCTGTCATAACACAAAACCTTGAAATAAGATATAGAAAATGGCGAAACCAGAAAATACAAAGGTTTTAGGCTATTTTTTTATTTATAAATCAAAACCCAATTTCCTTATCAAGATGAAATGACATTTAAGTGTAGCACTGTTATGCTAATAGTCAAAATATCTCTGTGTAGAAAGCACAACACACTGTAATCAATTTACTCAGAGTAGAAGTAAAGTAAGTTTAGATAAATATATTAGATCATTACATTGGGTAATTGGATGGTGTCATTCATGTCATTTCGTTGATGTAAAATGGGATTTTTAAGATTGATTCAATTTTGTATACAAGAAAAAGGAGAGAGCCTCTGCCAAGAGAAAAAGTCTCATTCCTATACATGAACAGACTTCATTGAAACACATGTTAATTAGATTAGATATATGCTCTTATTTCTTCATATGCGTAATATTCTTAAAAATGTTTTTATTTCAGGAGCCACTGGTTGCAAATGACATCCTGAACCATCCAAACTTTGTCAAGAAAAATCTCTGCAACAGCTTCAGTGACCGCACAGTGCAGCGCTTCTACAAGTTTAACACCAGCATAGTGGTATGTCCAGAATACTTGGATGTTCAAAATGTTCAGACTGCCTGGCTCAAACACTGATGTGCATAAACGCATTCCCCTGGGCCTCTCACATAAATGTGTCCTGATGTAACACTGCCATCATATGGTGCTATGTGGCGTTGCATTTTAAATGTGCCAACTTTTCAACCCCAGAAAGCCTGACCCAAGAAAACATGGATGGAAAATAATGACTAATTTATCTGGTGTCTTGGTTTGATAATTAATATAATGTACATATATGTTTTTAAAAGAAATGTAATAAATGTTTATGTACATTTTTTACTATAAACTAAAATGCAAAAAAGAAAAAAAAACATATGCACGGTATTTAGAATACTTTTACAAATCCATAATACTTTGGTCTAGTTTTTGATCACTGACTAATTTTGGAGTCTGTTAGTTGAAATGGGATTATGTTTGGATTATAAAGTGTTAGAATATTAGATGCTCTGATAAAGGGTAAAATGGATCAAACCCATCTTTCGGATTCTTTTTCTTTCAGGGCGATCTCACCAACCTGGTTCATGGCAGTCACTGTTCCAAATACCGTTTGACCCGAATCCCTGGCACCAACGCGTTCGCTGGCATCGTGAACGAGACGTGCGACTCGTTGGCGTTCTGCGCCTGCAGCACGGTCGACCGCCTCTGCCTCAATTGCCACAGGTCTTTGCTGACACTGCACTTTCTTCATGCATCTACCGTTTTTCTCCGAGACGGCTGATGTTCTGATGAAAAGTTATTATTGTGAAACTAATGAAGAAAAGATGTTATTTTCTAGCACGCTGCAAACTTGACTGAAACTTGCACGAGTTTCTGACTTTGCTCTGACACTTGTGTGTTTTTTTGTTGTTCAGGATGGAGCAGAATGAGTGTGAGTGTCCATGTGAGTGCCCCCTGGAGGTCAATGAGTGTACAGGCAACCTCACCAATGCTGAAAACAGGTAAGGCAAAAAGTAATGCACTGTGAGCATGGATTTTTAAATGACTGCATAAAATGTTTACAGATCAGAGGCATGAAGCCATTAGAAAGCGTTTCCTTTATGTTAGACTGTTTTAAAGTTTTCACTTGCAAGATTACTGCATTTGCTTCCCACTCTGTTCCTGCCTTAATGACTTGCAGTTTTATGTCAGAATCTTTGTCTTTTTTCTTTCATCCATCAGCTTCATTGTGGCGTCTTGAAACACGCCTACTTTAACTAATAGCTTTTATATTCCTGTCATCAGAGTTGCAATTTTGGGTGTGTGGGCTTCTGTGTGGATGTTTGTGGGTGTTTCCTCATTCTTTCCTCTCTCCATCTCACTACTTCACTAGATATTTCCCATATTTTTTGTCCTGTCACATTTCATCCACCTCCTTTCATCAGCCTTCAGCAGCTTTGACAGCACGTCAATGATTCAGAGCCGTCTTTTATCTCAGGAAAGCATGTGATTATTGTTTCTCCTTGACAGTTTTTTTCTTCTTCTCTTTTTGTCCCAACCAGAGTTGCCTTGCTTTCTCTGACATTCTGAAGACATTACTTTGTATGCAAATTCTTTCATTTTTTTGTGTCACTTTCACTTGACTTTTTGCTGGATGTCACACTTCACATCACATCACACGCTGGATTTGGGTGGATGTTGTTCGTTGAATGTGACTTTTGAATTTGGAACCTGGAAAACGTTCCAGTGCACATCTGTGTTTTCACCGTTTGGTTGGTGTTGTGTATTGCACAGGAACCCCAGCTGTGAGGTGCACCAAGAGCCGGTCAGTCTGAATGTGATCGATCCCAGCCTTCATGATACCCTGCCCCAGTGTATCAACACCCGCTGTAGCCAGAGGTACACCAGCAGGTATGGAACTATGCGCACGTCTGTGCAGTTTTATCCTTCAGAAAAAATAGCAATTTTCCACCAGACACATGCTCTGCAGTTTAACATAGTGTACACAAATAATGCTTCATGTTCTGCAATTGGGTTGACGCTCCAGCATATGTGCAGCACACTGCCACCCAGTGGTCATGAGCGGGAATAAGAAAGGGTGCAGAGGTTTTATTTCAGCATGGAGTAAATTTATTTCAACCTCACAACAGCAATAATGTGTTTGGCATTGGGGAAAATCCCAAGCCCTTGGCTGTCTAGAGTAAGAGGTGGTTATCAGATTAATTTTTAATGTTCTTTGAATTAAAACCTTTTCTTGAGTTTGACTTAAAAAAGATTGTTATTCTTTGTTTTGATTATTCACCATCAGCTCATCTGTATTGATCTGTAAAGAATTTCTCCCTGACTACAGTCCTCTGCACCATTTTTCAGTGACTGTTTTGGTGTGTTGGACTGTGAGTGGTGCATGGTGGACAGTGACGGCAAAACCCACCTGGACAAGCCCTACTGCGCTCTGCAGAAGGAGTGTTTTGGAGGCATTGTGGGTGCCAAGAGTCCCTATGCGGATGGCCTGGGGCTTCTTGGTGAGTTGTGTAACTAACCAGATAAATAATTTCCTTTGCTAATATATTTCCTGTAATCTCTGCATCTTCAGCACAATCATGATAGTACCCTGTACTGAAAAAAGTCAGAATCCACATGACCTCCTCCCCCCCTCCTCCATGGATAGGAACCTAACTTCTCTGCTTTCTGATTATTTGTACCAGCTGTGTAATAGGGAAAGATAGCTGTCTGCCTGTTTATAAAATGTACTTGCATCTCAGGAGTAGTTGGGATTTTAGCAAGAGCTGTTTGACACTAGCTTAAAGTAAATAGTCTTCTCAGGTCTTTTGACAACTTCTGTCCGTCGTAAATTGTTTTCCTTGCTTCTGCTTCTTGTTGCAGATGAGGAAGTTGCATCTTTAAACATGATCAAGAGTGCCCCTGTGGGTCCAGTAGCAGGAGGCATTATGGGATGTATCATGGTGTTGGTGCTGGCCGTGTATGCGTACAGGCACCAAATCCACAGACGCTCACACCAGCACATGTCGCCACTGGCAGCACAGGGTAGGTTAGAGTGACCCGACGTATATTTTTAGATCTGTGGGATTGATTTATAACCAAATGCAGCACAGCACAGTTGTTTTGCCCCTTATATGTCTTAAGTTTGTCTGTATGGTAAGATTCAAGAAACACTCAGAGGGTTTATTCTTTGTATTAGTATTGGCAGCTTTTGAAACGTATGGGCTGCAGTTGCTGTAAGCAACAAATTTAGCATGCAAAGTGTTGTGATAAATAAGCACTGGTTCAGTTAAACAGCTGATATTAGGATCAAAACACCAACAACTGCTGCATGATTTAAGTAATTACTCAGGGATATCGGATAAAACATCAAACAAAATTCCAATCTCAACTTAGAAAATACGCGTTTGTCTACACTATCTAAATATATAAGAATGAAAAACTGACTGAAGCTGCTTTTATATGTGCGTCACTGCTTTAATAAACAATACACTCATACATGTTCATCTATGATGCTAAAAGTACCTTAAATTGCTGTGGTAATGTACAACATTTCTGTTAAACCTTCTGCAAAAACTGTCCCTTTTGAAAGGGTGAAATAATAAGTGAAGTTAATTGTTTTAGCCATGGTGTCATTCACTGAGAGGAATGAATCACACTGGATCTTTGTTGCCATTTCAGACACATGCATTTGCATTTTTTTCCAAACGACTAAATAGAACATGGAGTATTTTCTTTCATGGGATGCCGAGTCTTATAAAGATGATCAGATGCTGGGAGCAATAGTGTTTCATCTTGTCATTCTCCCTCCTCTTTACCACCTCAACCATAGAAATGTCAGTGAGGATGTCGAACCTTGACAATGAGAGGGATGACAGGGATGAAGACAGTCACGAGGACAGAGGAATCAGTAAGTGCTTCTGCATTTTCTCTTGGGTTTAACTTATTTGACTAATGGTTCATTATCAAACAGATACGAGTCTGACCTGAGTGCTCTTTCTTTTCAGTTAGTAATACCAGATTTATAGCGGCAGTGATCGAGAGGCACACTCACACTCCTGAACGGAGACGGAGGTACTGGGGGCGATCCGGGACGGAGAGTGACCACGGTAAGATGTCACGGATCTGCACCGCTTAACTCCCTAATTGTTCCAATGGACCTAGTCAGTTATGAAGAAGTTGCCTTGCTAAGGAAAACAATGGATTGCAGTTTAAGAGCAGAGGAAAGATGGGGGGAGATGTAAGCTTCCAAAGAGAAATCCATGTTTATCACAACAAAAATGTCATGTTACATGAAGAGTAAACAAGCACAGCCGGGAAAGATGCATCATGGAAAGTCTCCCTGCAGTCTAGGCCTTTAGGTATGGAAATATGAGATGTTTCAGGGTCACCTGGGCCAATCCTACTTATATACTTTGTCAAAAAAGGACGGTTTTATGCTTTTATGTCTTTTTTTATGTCTTTGCTTTTTGAAAAAGGTGTATTACTAAAACTAAAACAACACTCCCGTAGATCTGTTTTCTCTTAGTTCCTTGGTACTAGCCTCATTTCCAGTTTGTTCCTTTCATCTCCTGTCCGAACCTTTTCGTCTTAGATTTATTACTGCAGTAGTTGCTCACTCTAACAGTTAACATTTAAAGTCTGACACTCAGCCTAGATGGACATGTTTCACCCACACGGGCTCTTAGCCACCCACATATGGCAACACTTGAATTTCTGCCGATGAGTATCTCTCTAACGTGTTGCATAACTCGTGTTTCAGAGAGAACAAGGTTGAATATGAGGAGAAAATAGTGGGCTGAAATCAAGCAAAGGCAAAAGTGCAACAGTACGTAAATGGAAACACCTGAGCGGATTTTCAGTTCCCAGTTGTGCTCTTTGTACCTCACATGCCTGACCTAACATAAGAAACTATAGCTTTTGGAGAGGTTTGAGTAGGAAGGAATCACACATTTTAATTCACCAACATGAGTAGTTTCTCATGTCTTTCTTTTCTTTTTATATAGAGCTGCTAACAGGCAGTCCAAATTCATAAGCAGGAAAAGGATCGCATATTGTGCAATAAGACAAGGGATGTTGCAAGTATGAAAGAGGTGGGGAGCCACAAGAGGGGTGCAAAAATGATGAAAGATGCGAAATAAGGACAATGTAAGACATAAATTTTAGGTTTGAAGTAAGAGAGTTAAGGATAAAAGTTAGAAATAGAACCCTCAAAGTAATGTTTACATTACTTTACATTGAAGATTTTGTTGCTAAGCTATCTGGTTGCTAAGCTATTTCTTTCAATACAGACATTTTAATCACTTTAACCAATATTTATCAGAGGCAGAAAGGATTTCTTACCAGGATTTGCTCATCAGGTGTCAAACCAATGGAGGAAATTTTAGCAGCTGTAATACTGATAAGATCTTTAGATTTCTGCAGTTTTTAGATGTAGAAATACTTTTTCCCGTTTTGCTACATGGCATTAAAAGGGATTCGATTTCTTCACCTGGTGTCACTAAAAATGATCAACAGGAAACATTTTGCCATAGATTAATCTCAAGCTCTGACTGTGGGGAAAAATAGAAAAACTCAGTTTCCTTTAATTCCTCCCTTTCTTCTTCTTTTATCTTCCTCCCTTGTGCCTGGCATTCCACTACTCTTCCCTCGCGATTTTTCTTTGGCAGGTTTCTTTTTTAGTATGAAAGACGGGTGAATATTTTGGATGACCAGGAAGGGTGATGTGTGTGGAAACCGCTCGGTTATTGAGGGATTATTGGTCAATAATTGTGAAAGTTAGTACATTTCAACACATCTAAAAAAAATAAAAAAACTCAAGTTAGAGACTGTTGCTTGCTTACTAATGGAAACTAAGGAATTGCATCAAAATTTCTCTTTGATTCCATCCTGGTGGTAACATTTACATTTAAAGTGAAAGAAAACCAGGCAGGGCAGCTGTCTGCCTCAACTGGCTGGGGGTTGAGATGCAAGAAGGGCCCACAAGTACCACAGTGATAGGCCATGAGTACCGCTGATGTCAGTTGTTTGGGCTCCATTATACAGCGGAAGCTCAGCCATCAGCCACCTCAAAGCAGCAATGTTTATGAATAGCAGGAAGACTGCGTCATTCATGGCTGAAAACTGCCCATCTCTACGTTCACTTGTTTTTGCATTTAGCTTCCTGATAATCAAACAGAAGTGACATATGGTGCACCAGTTCCCCGAGGACAGATCAGATTTATCTCTGCGACTAGGGTTAAACTGTTAACTTAATTATGGATTTGTGATTTTCCTTGTAGAGATTCTGCTAATTGCAAAAATATTAAATTTTTTTTCCACCTAAGTAATTTGGTTGGAGTCTGAAATGTTTGTCTTGCTTGAGAAAGATTGCTTGATGACAGTTTGCAAGACATATCCTGTGTACCAAAGAAATGATAAAGTGGTTTGCCATAAACTCGGCCTGTGCACTCACGAGCTCACAAATTATTACATGCTTGAGTGTCTGTGGAGGTTTTATGTTTCATTACTTATAAGTGACAGCAATTTTTCTACAGACACAATTATTGAACCAGTCGTGCTTACAGGCTTATTTTCTCCAACAGTAATAACAAATTGATGTTCCACTGCGCTTGTTCCTAGTTTCCTGTTAAGCGAGGAGGGGTGGTAAAGGAATCGAGGAAGATGGGTTTATTTTCAAATTGGCTGCCTAGAAAATATTGTGTAGTCACTCTTTGCAATGCAGAACCAGTTTAGATGTTTGAAAATTATTCAAATCCTGTCAATGCATGAATGGGACCTACATTAACTTTTTGACGAAAAACTGTATAAGTTAATGATCCTAACTGTGTAACTTTACATGTTCTAGTGTACAGTCATTTACTTTTAAATGATTTTACATTTTTGCATTATTAATTAACTCATTCAGTTCCATGGTGATAGTTTTTCTCTGGGCCAGCATTGACTCCCTCCTTCTGCTCTACTTATCACTGTATCCGATCAGTGCTGTTGGCTTGTTTCATTGTTTCCTCAGGCTAAACTTTTATGCAATATGTGTTGGAAAGGGCTTATTAATATGTATTCATCTATTTTTCTTACTGAATGAGAAACTGGAAACAATAGCATGTGTTGCTCTGAGAAACATAATGACTTAGCATCTATTTACAATAATGCTTTTGTTTTGAATGTCTAAGACTGGAGGGGATCGTTGGCTGAGTGATAGCTTGTCATTTCTCTCATTTCTGTGCAGCCAGTGTCTAGAAGTTACTACAAATGTACTGTACAATTTCAAGATCTTATCATAAAGAATCATGTTACATGATTTATTTGTAATTTTGCCACTTCAGGCCCAATAATCCCCGCATTCTTTCTGCGTTCAGGCTACAGCACCATGAGTCCACAGGAGGACAGTGAGAATCCACCTGGAAACAACGACCCCCTCTCAGCAGGCGTGGACGTCGGTAACCACGACGACGACATGGACCTGGACACGCCTCCCCAAACGGCTGCGCTGCTCAGCCACAAGTTCCATCCGTATCGACACACGCACACACACCACCACCCGCTGCACACACATCACCTGCAGGCTGCAGTGACTGTGCACAGTGTGGACGCCGAGTGCTGATCCACCGCACGCTGTTCCACTTCCTGACAGGGATGGAACTTCTTTTCTTTTTTTTCCTGTTAAAGTCTGAAGTTTTATGCTCAAAGCAGATGGTGAGAGGAAAGCACCTCTGTACTCAGTGTCCCAGGGCCGCTTGGACTCACGTTATTCAAGATGGATGGTGCCACGTAGTGACATCGTGGCAACATTTGAACCTGGGCCTCTGGTATTCAACCCATCTTGAAATCTTGCAGAAAAAGCCAGCACATAAAACCATTTGGATTTTCTTTTGAAGGATTTAGGACTCACAAGTCAGAGCAGGATGTTTGGCACTGACATAAAGCTGTTGGAGCCCAGTCATCGGACGTCACTGAAGAAAAGACACAACTGGAGTTCAAAAGCTTTGAACAGAGATAAAGATCTTTATTTTTTAGTAACTTACAGTTCACACGGACTGTTGAATTTACAGTTGGAGCTCATTGTGGATCGCTTTTGACCAGGTCTTCAGCTTGTAAAAGTAGCTTCCCTGCAAGGTGCTTGTGAAATGGAGCAGGAAGGACACAAAGCACTCCCCACATTCACAAAAACTGTGAGATCTCTAGTGAGGAGCGAATAGACTATATTTTAACTTTTAAAAATGGCTGTAGTGGGATACAAACAAATTTTATTTCAACTTCACTCGCCTTGACACTCCAGATAAACTCTCCAGAGTTGGGTTTCTCTCAGTGTCAGACCCTTGATCCGAAGGATGAACTGCAGATCTCACACATGGCGTGGAACGATATCTGGACCTTTTCATGAATGTCAGCGGACTTCACTGTAGAAACATGCTTCTGTGTTTCAACATGAATACAAGAGGAAACTCTTTTAAGGGGAAACTATTATTTTTCTACTATTTATTAAAGAGGTAGAGTTTCACGACGGACAAAAAGCAGCTGCCTGTAACGAGACAAGAAATGTTTCAACCAGCGAATAAGATCTACTTTGCGTTATTTTCAGTGCTTTTTATTTCCCAACAGATATGGTTGCTCATTAAGGATGTTCAGAAGAAAAACATATTGTTAGCTGTTATTTTGTATAAGGTAAACAATTCAATGCCGTTTAAACATACAGGTCCATATATTAAGCTGTTCAAAACTCTCCTTTCTGAGGCCCCTGCCCTTGTTCTAGGTGTATAGTTACTTGCATTTCTCATGTCTTCCTGTATTAAAAGAGTGGGGACACAAACACTTTTCAATTTAATACAGTCCAGTGTTAATGCTGATTAGTATCACCCTACCTTTCACTGGAGCCTAAATTACAAATAAGTGATTGACTTCATACATTTAATTACTAAAAATAAGTAAACATTATAACGGATATCAGTGGTATAGTGGTGCCGTTGATTGTATGACTGCAAATTCTAAAGGGTATAAAGGAAAAAATAAATAAATACAAAGTTTAGATGTTTAGGGCTGAAAAATCTTTTGGGGAATCTTGGAAAAGTGATATCTGACATGTAACACATCTGTTTTCGTTGTTATATGGGTTCTTTAGAGTTGTAACTTGCTGCTGTGACGGGGGAAATACATATGTTGCAATTCTGGACGTGTTCTCTGTATTAAGGAGCATAACTTTTAAGATCAGTGAAATTTCCCAGTCTCCTGGGGACAGAGGAGGGAGGATAGAAGCTAACACCAGCAAAAAAAAAAACATTCCTGGCTTTTGTCACTAGTGGGGATTGGGTGTGTGAGGATAATTGGAGGCCCTCAGAGAGGTCCTGAAGGTTTTTCAGACTGGAGTGCTGTCCTGAGTAAAGAAAAGAACAGGCCAGATTTTTTTTTTTTTTTTTTTTTATAAACTACAACCTTTTGCCTCTGAGGCCCAGCTCATGCTGATGTATGTTATGTTTTGTCCTGGTTGAATTTCCAGTGATGCCTATGATGCAGTCTCCTTCTTGTTAATGGGAATAAAAGAGGTAGAGATTCTGCTGTCGTTGTGCAGAGGTTACACCCGACTATTGGTCCTCTGTGGTTAACCACTCGAAATGTATTTTTTACATGTGTCTGGATTAATATGCACGTTTTGTGTGTGTGCGTGTGTGTGTGCATGAGAGAGAGTATTTGTGGGTTATGAAAGTGTGATTATCCACCTGGAACATTTTCATCGAATTGATTATTTTTCCAAAAATAGTATTAGAGAAATATAGGGGGATATAATAATTGACAAATCCAGTTATTTTTATTCTGAGGTGTCTGAACTTGATCCAGTCTGTGCTTTGTGTGTTTGATTGCTCTGCAGTTCAAATTGCACCAGTGTGGCATCCATTTTGTTTTCCTCCGGGTGCCAAAATGTCTGCTGTTCTTGAGAGACTCGTCATAAAGTGTAAATACAAAGAATCACAAACGGCTATTAATGTCCAGTAGACTTTTTTTTTTCAAATGTTGGTAAGACATGATATATGCTTCACATGTTTCTCAAATACTTGGGTTGATGTGGAATTGTCTGTTCATGGTGTCTTTCTATATTTTTGATGCCTTGGATGTTTTTTTTTTGTTTTTTTGGTCTTATTTTTCTTTAGGTCCATATTGGATGGAAGTCAGTACTTGGAAAAATGAACATACACTTTTATGAGAGATTTTTTTAGTTTTAAAAGGTTTATTGTGTCTTTGAAATGTTTATGAAAGGTCAACAAACTCATCTAGAATTGCAGTAAAATTAACAAAACAACATCAGTGTAGTGGATTATATTTTCCTGTCAGCAAATTGAGATTATGTTGCGTCTTTAAAACTGTCAGCCACATCCACACATCCTTTTTAGAGTCTTTGATTGTGAGCTTCTCAAAAATCAATGCAAGTGCTTAATCATTTGACAAATGAATGGTTTCCCATAGTACTTGTTGGTGTACCACTACCTGCTGGATGCAGGGGGTCAGACATGCCACTCATATCCTCAGTTACAGAATGTTTACCAGAGTCCTTATCAGATGTCTGTTTTCTGTCATTTACACGGTACGCTGTTTCAGTAAGTATAGTTACAGTTGTTTTCGACATGAGAGAAGTCTAATGGAGCAGCCATTGTGTGTTTTTCACTTGTTTTCGTTCTTGGAGAGCTTTTTAACAGTATTTACCAGCTGTTGTAAGCAGATATATATGTGTGTATACAGAGCATTTTGAATTGCAATCGATTTACTGAAGGAACACGTGTATGTCAGTCCCCATATATCATATAAAAGTTATAAAAATTGAGATTTATTGCAATGTGAATGTGATAAAGTCCATTTTACACTTAAAACGTGTGATGTTTATAATTCGTGCTCAATACATGAAACGGATTCTTGATGATTGCCCTCTTTGACAGAGAATCCCACCAGCCACAAACTGTCCTACAGGCCTTACAGATCGTCTACAGTGGATATTTCTATCTAAATGCTTTCTTAACTCTTGACCCGCTATTCACGCTCCCTAACAGCAGAGCAACATAGTGTGACGCATGTCCAGCCTTCATTACTCTGTCCAGCTCATGCAGAGACATTTAGGTCACCTACACTCCAAAGCGCTGCTCTTTAGAGGCCCATTGGCCTTGTTTTGAGAGAAATGTCTAGGTTATATGTAGAATTTCTGCTTGATTTAACTCACAGGGTTGTTGAGCCAAACAGTTGGAAAGACAGTTTTGGTTTTTTAATGTATGAATGGAAATTCACAGATATCAGTGTGAAAAAACAGCTCTCTGTAAGTACACAGATTATTTTCCTCTTTAGTGAGAGAAACAATACATTTGTTTTTTTTGTTTTTCTGCTTTTTATTCCTCTCCAAGTTTGTTTTGCTCTTGAACTCTGCATTGAGAAATGGAACGTTTGACTGTAAACCGATCCTGTTGTAGACCTTGCACATTGCAAGAGCCGTTCAAAATGTTTCAAGCTGCTGGTCATAGGTCAACCCATTTGTAGATGAAGGAAGAATAACAGCACTGCCTCAAAGTCCCTATCAGTTATTTATGAAGCCTTTCTGTACATATGCTATTTCCTTACAGGGGATCTGGGAGTCGACCACAGATGGAGAGGCAATATGGCTCGGACACAATATAACAAGAGGCCATTTTAATTTAAGGGGAAGACATTAGAGGTAGAACTGAAAAACCAGAAGCACCACTTCCTACTGTTCAGGTCTAACTTTAAAATGAAAAACAGCTTTCTCTTTTCAGACGTGAGCAATGACATTACTGCTCAAGTCTGCTTGAAATGAATACTCTTACTATATTCTCAGTCATCCAGGTCATGATAGTCAGAAGAGTTTGAGTAAAGGGAACTGGACTACTGGAATCTTTAAGATGCTTTCACTCTTGTCTGAAAGGCTTCTTAGGTTGCTAATGGTTTACATTTATCCAGCTGCTGTTCATATACAATTTACATTAAGTGCTGCTGGATTTATTTTGTTTACTGCACATAGTAAAAGAAATAAGCTAAGGCAGGGGTTTTCTCCCCATGTCTCCCCACCCACTCCCACCAAAAAACAACACAAAACTCGTCAGTAAGTCTGTATTCATTCATACATCCAATACAAAGCCCTTGTTACTGTCACTCTGTCGCTGTGCCTCCTCAGCTCTGCCTCTTTTTCCTGAGCTACCGGCTGCTCCCTGCCAGGGAAATACTGAATTAGAGCACTGAGCTTGGTGTCCAAGCACCCAGGGGTCATTTCACTCAGTTTCTGCTCTGCCAACTAGTACAGCAGACATGCACCAGCAGCACATTTTATGCAGCCCATAGTCCCGGTTTCCCAAATGCATCATAGCAGTGTGATCGTCTTAAGTCTTTAATGCAGGCCGGCAATATATAGCACTTTGAAACGGCTTTTATCATGCTGCGCCTTCTATGCCGCCATGTGGATTGTTCTAACAATGTGCCAACTATGCACAACTTAAATCCTGTCTAAATAAACCTCATGCTATGGCTTTAAATAGTAATCATTCTTGTTAAACTAAACGGAGCTCACTTGTGAATGACTCAATTGCTCACAGAAGAGTAGTTTGCCTGATGTAACTGATGAGGAGGTGTGCTTATTACCACTGTAATTAGGCCAGGACGCTTTGTACACATTGTCCCCACATGCTCAGGTCAGCTGTTTTTAGGAGGGCACATGTGCCTTCTTTGCTTCTTTGTTGTTAGAGAAAGGAAATCTGGCCACCACATTTCCTCCATGATCACTAATGGGACTGAAATTGCCTAAAAGCCTTTCTTATCGACTCTGTTCCTGACAGTGTTGCAGCGTGAGATGTTCACGATAACGCCGCACATTCTATATGTGCATGTTTATGTTGCTCACCATTAACTCCCCCACACAATGAGCCACTTCACCATTTTAGGTTAACCCTCCCTCCCGATACCTCTTCCACCCCTTCTCCCATCCGCACGCCTACTGAGCTCATCCCAGGTGCCCGCATCGCCTGTTCAGCCACTCAGCCCACCCACGCCCTCACACTCTCAGTCCCGGCGAGCAGCGGTGAACGTTTTCCCGCTTTCTTCCTCTCCTCTCCACTGCCACCCACTCCAAATTGCTGTGAATCACTGGCTGACACACTGAAGCACCGGCAGGGCTCTTCTGTTTTAGACATAAATCGACAAACCCTTCTCTTCCCCTTTGGTTTGTAACGCATGGTCCTGTATGGTGGAAGGGCAGTTTGTATATAAGCATATGGGGCGGCTTCAGGCACACACAAGTTAACTCGTTTGTGTGTGTGTGTGTGTGTATAGCACGTGTAACAGTGTGCCAGCATGCGTGTCTATCATGGGACAGAGAGAACAAATTAATTGTTCTCTTATGGAAATGCTTCTTGGTACTTAGTGGAGTGATTCATGCGTCTCTAAAATCAGTTGGCGTGAGTGACAGGCAAGTCCTTGATGTCTTTTCGACGAACCACTGCTCAATGATTCATGTCCCCCAATCTGTCTGAAGACACCAGCGACCATATTAGCAGAAGTTATCCCACACATGATTCCTCACCAGCATTTAATCTTAAAGATCTCTGTGTTTTATGTGATCGTAATGTTTGTTGGACAGAGTACGTCATAAATAGGATATGCTGCTTGGGATGTTTACCGTCGAACTTTCTAGATTTGGATTTGTAGCACCAGGTCAATGTAGGTTTCACTATGAAGCGGAAGCATTTGTTTTTTTTTAATTAATCAACAGGAAGGCAACACAAATATATGTGAACTTTATTTACTTTTTTTTTCTAGTGAGTCCAAAACATGCTGCTCATTCTCCAGTTGCATCATAATAAAAGCCAACATTGCCCTCTCTTTGGCCTTTCAGCTCTGGAGTGGACGGAGGGCAGTTCTGACTGAGTCCACACACAGTCAGTGAATCTCTGCTACCCTGCTACAGCCACTTGGCAACTCGAGATCATTTTCACCCACTGACAACTGTGATTGTCTGGACATCGATCTGCCAAGAAACACTCCACACAGATGGCAAGGGAGGGAGAACATCGAGGATGATTTCACTGTCTCTTACAGGCCTTGGCACAATTGTGTTCTAAATATTTCATATGTGGGTTGATTCCTTTTTTTTTTGTTGATACGTTTGTGTGTCTATGTGATTGTCGATGCAGCCAATGAGTGTGAGTATACAGTGTGTGTCTGTCAGAGACTATTGCTGCCTGCGGAAGCTACATAGCCATTGTGAGGACTCAGCAGGGCGCTCTGCTCCCCTTGTGTTTGCCAGGAGCAGATTTCCACCCACGGCGGGCAGGCAGGCTCGGTTGGCTGCTAGGCTGGCATTCACTGGATGACTTGGGTAGAAAGGAGAGAAGGCACATAGCCATTCATGGTCATATTATGTACAGAGAACAGGAAAGCTGCGGTGGCTTACGGATATTCTGCGGCTAATGGTTTTCTCTTTGACTAAAATGAGAAATGTTTTACATGTACTTTGGTTTGGAAATAAGACCCAAGCTTTTTTTGTACCAGGAAGCTTGAGCATGAGTGGGAGCTGTGAGAAAAACGTGCTGAATAAACCTTCTCAGGTATGCAACACGTGGTTGATTATTCCTGTTGTTTTTCGCCCCTAAATCAGGAGACTTTTGTTTATCAACTAAAATGACTGAGTTACAAAAAGCGAAGCCTAACAATCAAGCAGTTCTCTCACAAGATTATCATTCAGCCTGCCAGGCAACAAATTCTGTTTCCACTTGAGTGTGTGGGACTCAGTTTGTACCGTGAGCAGAGGGAAGACTGGGATGCTGGGACAACAGGAAGCAGGCAGTAAGCAGATGAAGGAAAGGGAGGCCATATTAACAGTGAACAAGCCCAGCCATGGTAGAAAAACCAGAGAGCCCACAAGGTTTGCTCTGCAACAAGGATCAGGAACAGGAATTCTGCCTATGGCAGCTCATGAAAAACGGGGTAGATGGTGGTTCATGATATAATTGAATCCAAGTGAACAAGATGAGACGCCCATGGAGGCTGACAGAAAGCAGAGGAACAACCTGAGAAAAAAAAAACAAGAATCCAGGACATGGAACAAGTTAAGGCAGTAAACATGGCCTCTGGAATTTTAAGAATCACAACTTAACAGAAACAGAAACCCACGCACAGTCAGTATGGCACGATACTCTTATGCACTGAACAGACAGCGGGGGTCGCCAGGAGTCCGGTGTGCG